AAGACTTTGACTGCGTTGTCTGAGTGTTGTTCAACCATTCGACAAAAACGACCAGCAAAGACTTGGACCCGGCGCGCCGGGTTGTTTTTTTGCTTCTTGGATATTTTCAACTAGAAATCTTGTGCGTGCAGCCTGCCGACTTGGCTGCCAGCTTCCACTTGCTGTTCTTACGATATAAATGCTGCAACAACTTGCTCACTTCCGGCTTGGAAGAAGCAAAAGAGCTAGATAGGAAGATGGTAGCAGGGTGCAAAAGCGCTGCATCGTAGTAGCGAACGAAGCGCTGCCTGTCAGCACGACCCTAATCTGCTGCGTCGATCACACCCTTGCCAAGGGCCACAATGGCTAGATATAGAAGGTGCTTACGAAACCTGGGTACGCCACGCATGGCAGGTAAACTGCGCGCAGTGACAAGGATGTGAAAAAACAGAAAAATTGAAAATGAACCAACAGTGTTTCAATCATGCGAGAGTCGAGGAAGTCATTCGCTATACTCTCCACAATCACGATTTCACAAGCTTCTACCTTCGTCACTTTTGGGCACTTGCTGCTGCTTGGGCGAAGGACAGCCCGCGCAACCATGGTCGTGTCCAAGATCTTGCTGGTATGCAGGATCCGAACTTCGTCTCTGCCTGCAAACACATTGCTTCGCCTCAGAGCCGGCATTTGCGACGCAGGTGCGCTTGATTTGGCCTGCCCTCGCTTCTTTGCTCGCATCTTTGCAGACGCTACGGCTGAGCTTCCCATGCGCTTGACCTGGATCAATGTTTTTGTTCTGGAGACAAAAGAAGACATTCTTTTGTTGAGAATCTGGCTTCATGGATGGCGCCACCTGGCTATAAGCGCGGTCAAAAATAGTGTTCGAAGCAGCATCCAAAGGCCTTTTTGCTTGCAAGAGCGAAGTCACTGCAGTATTCCTTTTGCGCACCATGTTGGCAAATGTGCCCTCTTTAGGCTTGCGCTTCAGACCTGCATCCTTGCGCACTCGGTGGCATCGAATCGGCGGCCATGCATGCGCACCCAAATCTCGGCGCAAGCCCTCGAGAACTCAGTAAGCAAAAGAGTTTGGTGTGTGGAGTTTCGAAAGGGAGACACTCTTCGCTGGAGGGACCGTCCTAAATCACGCTCCACACTGCACTCTCCATCAAGCACGGACAATGTACAAGCAAACCAGATCGGGCAAGCACTGCCATGTTTTCTGGATGGATTTCAAAGGTGCTCCCATGCCAAGGACTCTAGCCCACAGAGGTCTATTGTCGTTTGTTTGCGAGGCGATCTTTGCATGTTGCAAAAAAGCAAGAGCTGCAGCAGTCAGTTCTCTGCGGGCCAAATCGGCGTCGATGCCAAGAGTCTTGCTCAGACGATTCACTTGCAAGCCCATTCCAGCTTCAAAAGCGCGCCAATACTGAACCTGACCTTTGTCTAGCTTCTCCTTTGCTTCATGCCACAACCTCAAATCAAAGCAGCTAAATGCCATGTCAAGGTCCTTGCTGTGCATCTCAGCCTCGATCCGATCGTTTACTACATCAGCAACATTCTTGACGCTCTGCGCCAATGCCGTTGCCCGTTCACGGCTTAGTGGCCGCCACAAAGTATGAAGCCTGTTTCCAAACTGGATGGCCCCTGCCTGCTTGGCATTCCTGATTGCCAAGTTGGTGTACGTGTCCTCAGCAACCCCATCTGGCGTCAAAATGACACCGTAAGAGAATAGCATCTTCAATCGTCGGGTGAACTCAAACTTCTCGTAAGATGTGGCAGCCACATCGTGGTCCCCTGACTCAAACCCAAACCAACATTGTACTGCAGAAAAGAAAATATGCGCCTACCGAACCCGGGCCCCTCATCCAAACAGCCATCAAATGCAAGTTTAGAGGGGTGGCCCTGAATATTTTTCCGAGACTGCAGGCCAAATGTTTACAAAATAGCAAACAAAACGTAATTATATGCCCGAAAAATGTTGCTTCCAGCACGCCAAACCCAGTTACGAACATCGTGCAGCCGCACAAACCGAAGAACCTCCGCAGAAAAGTCTGCAGAGAGACCAGCAGGACCAATATGCTCTGGAGTCATCATCTCCAGGGCCTTCAACGCCCGAGCTCTGATGTCTGTCTGCTTGTTTGCGGGCATCTGCTGCAATGGAAGCAAGCAAGACAGCAATAGGCAGCAGAAGTGCCACATACTTTGCTTGTGGACTTGCGTAGCTGCACGAACCTCTGCTTGGCAAAACTCAAAGTGCGCAAGGCACATGTCAAAGCCTGGGCGCCCACGGCACCTTCTTCTTCAAGCGTCGACTTTTGAATCAACTGAACCTCAACTTCCATTCCGAACTGTTCTCAATGTCTGGGATAACTGCACGCAACTGACTTACAGTGAAGAGCTGCCTCACTGTAGGAGTCGTTCCTTCCAGCTCGCCCCATCGCTCCCTCCAGTGGTTGCACCTGGAGGAATCTTGGTGCACCAAGCGAAGTGGCTTCACGCAGGTACTCTTCAAGAAGGCCGGCAAATAGCCTTGCGCAACCTTCCCCCTTTCTGCTTGAGGGCCTTTGCGCCGGACGCAAACTCGCTTGCACAGAGCCTGCTGCAAATGTAGCACGCAAGAGCCACCGCAGCCCCACCCCTTCAGGTTCTGTTTGACCTTCCAAGAGTCCCAATCCTTGATCTGAGGCAGGCCAGCATTGGCCAGGCTTCTGTTGATTTTGCCCACCTGCTGCTCTGTCGTCTTCTGCCCACACTTGTACTGTCGCTTCACTATAGCATCTGTCGCCTTCAGCTGTTCTTTTGGACCATGGCAGATTTGACGTCGATGATCTCTTCGTGTATAAGTCTCTTACATGTTATATGGTGGGGACGGAGGAACGAGGGAGGACTTAATAGTTCCAGTATTGGTTGCCGCGCCACACTTTTAATGCATACGATGGCGATATGCCACCGAATTGCAAGATTGCAGCCGTAAATGTTTTCTGATGTAGCATGCTGTTGCCTGACACGGGCAGGTACGGCAGCAGGCGAACACAAGTAGAGTAGAGGCAAGGGAGTGTTCACGGAGCCATTCCTGTCCTCCATTTCTTTGGAGTGTAGTTGACTAGCCGAGCTGTCTTGTGGAATTCAAGCTGGGTTGTTTATCTTCAAGCCTGGTTCACCGGGTGAAAAACAAAATGAAGTTAGCGCCTCTTTTACATTTGTCTCGTTATTTTCCAGAATTGTTCGGAACATATTGGGACTGGCGCCGCCTCCTCACCCGGCGCGCCGGGCACGAGTGTTTTCAGGTCATGTCTGATCTCTGCAGTATGAAGGATAAAGTTGGCATAAGACTTTGACTGCGTTGTCTGAGTGTTGTTCAACCATTCGACAAAA